TAACAGCCTAGAAAAAAAAGGAAAGAAAGATGTTTACTTCAGACTGTTGGTGAGTTTAGTTGTGCATGCCTTTTTTGTATATAAACTAAATTCCAATGATCCACATGTCAAAAATCTTAGCTCTACCTTTTTATATTTATTTTCTACTGTGTAAATTTATCCTTTTGTAGAATCATGGTTGCATCGTCTTCTCTAATGTGATAACTTACTAGTGACTTGTAAACCTCCTTTTGGAGTTCATATAGGATGTGAAATTCAGAAACTTTGCTGAAATCAAGAAATAATGATAAAGGCAGACTGAACAATTATAGACAGTGCCACAATTAGCTCAGAAAGTGCCTTTGAGCAATCAAGAAAAGGTGTCCCCACCGGGCAGACACAGCCTTATGAGCTTATGGTTTGGGACACAGTGGGACCACATTTTAGCCCTGATGATTCTCTTGGGTACCTTATGCAAGATCCTTACGCAGGGAATGACTTGTATGACTATATTTGAGATTAAATAGTGATACCAATGGCCAGACTTCATCCCTACTGATCAGATTATAGAATCTCTACACCATGGTTGTTAGAGGATAAAACTATAATCTAAACCATGTTGGAAAGATTGTGAATGTGGAAAAGATATACACTGCCACTTCTCCAATACCCAGAGCCTTTCAAAAGAGGGGATCGGAGTAGGATTACTTTTCAAGAGTGTATATATGGCAAACAAATTAGGTCTTTAAAAGACAACTGCATGGTACATTATTGTTGCAACTGCTACATTCTGGTTCAGTCATACTTGTATCTATTTTTAAAAACATGTCAAATCTTGAAGCGTGTATAGTGACAAGGGGGAGCAGCTACTGGCAAGAATGAACTATCCTGTGATATTGTTGTTTGTATGTAATAATATATATCCAACTCTGATTGTCCTAGTTCTAGAGGGCCTATCCTATTTCTCACCGATACCCACTTGAGTGGTGTCTGAAGCAGTGTGTTGATTAGGAACATTTCAGAATCCTTTAGTTAGGTCTTTCGCTAAGGCTCCCTTGCATATATTTCAAGTAAATGTTGTATCCAGACTAACCACAGTAGTAACATCTGTTTCTGTGTGTGCTCATTTGTCTTTGCAAAGATTTTTTTCTCCAAATTATTTAATTATTTTGTATTTATATGTTACAATTGACAAAACTGTTAAAAATCAATAAAATAAATTTGCAGTTAAGTCCTTTAAGTTTGGTTTGCAGTCTCTTCCCCCAACACCCACCCCCGGGCAGCATGGTATGGAACGGTAGGATATACCTTCTGAAGATTTGGACAGTGGAATTAGAAAATGGCTTGTCCTGCTTCATGAGAGTGGTTTCCGAGGGCTATGCTCTACCTTATGTTACTCTTTCAAGAGCTACTCTTTAACATGTGTAGCCACTGACCTTTAGAAAATGTATGAAACTCAGTTCAGACCCCATCCAAATGTCTGCTTCCTCAGTCTCTAGCAGTGAGATTTCAGGAGAGTGAAAACAAGATTCAAGAGCCTTTGTACATAGTAATATATATCCAGCTCTGATTGTTCCTAGTCCCAGAGGCTCTATACTGTTTCTCGTGGTGCCTCGAGCACAGTGTGTTTATTAGGAACATTTCAAAATCCTTTAGTTAGGTCCTAACTAACTACCATCTGCTAGTTAGCATGTGGAAGGCACAACTGGGGAAAGCAGCTTTCCCCCAGATGAGAACTGTCTGAGCAATCTCTCTAAGCTCCTCAGCTCCTACAAAGAAGCCATTGACTGGGACAGTGATGAGACACTCTTGATTTGAGGGTAGAGGTAAGGGGGGGGGGAATGAAACCTTTAATCTCCCAAAATAATGTATGTACCAGAGTGCACCTAAAAAGCACAAAGTCAAGTGTCCTTCAGTTCCCACCATCCCTACTTTTTGTATTATATTTCATGTCTGGTCCTTAAGCTAAATTCTCTTGGCTATTTGTTGGTTTGTAAATTCAGAGAAATAACATGATGAGACAGAGACAGAGACAGAATGTTCCTGAGAAGTAGCTTCCTCTGGTTTTAAAATTGGTCTTAAAAACTGAAACTGTTTTAAGGGAGACAAAGGAGCTACTATTCTTCAGGGAATGTCAAAGCAGTGTCCAACATCTGAAGTGTTTCCTCAATGCATTGGAGAAATGTCCTGCAGAATTCATTGGAATCATTGATGCTACCTAGGAACTCTGCTGCCTTTAATGAGCTGTGCCTTTAATGAAATGGTGCAAACTGTTCCACTCGGTGAGCTGGTATCTAACACAATCACCTTGGAGGAAGGTGTGTTATTTGAAGGGTATTTCAATGGAGAGTTAATTTACTGAATGGCATACTCACCAAGCACACTTGTTTGGTGTGACTTTTGTCTTCTTAATAGCAATAAAAGATGATTCAGTCTATCTCTATCTCATCTTCTCCTTGGAGTCTGAGGGACAGAAATCAAGAAAAGCTGAGTGAGTACAATAAAAACATACTATTGGGACTGAAGAAATGGCTCAGAAGTTAAAAGCACTTGTTGCTCTTGCAGAGGACCTGAGTTTGGTTTCCAGGACCCACATGGTAGCTCACAACCATCTGTAACTCCAATTCTAAGGGATCTGACACCCTCTTTTGACTTCCACAGGCACCAGACACGAACATAGTAGATGTACATGCATGTAGGCAAAATACTCATGTACATAAAAATGAATATTTTTAAAAAAGGAACAAAATTGGGTCAAGAATTCTTAGGAATATATTAATTTATTTCTCATTTTCCAGATACAACATCAAGAAATCAGAAGAGATAAAAATTAAATATATATTCATATGGAATATATAGCCTTAAAATAATATTTTTATTATTTGAGAATTTCATTCAGTGTCTTTTTATCATCTTTACCTATATAGCCATATAGCTGTGTACCCCTAGCTGGCTTGCCTCAAATTCAGGACCTTCCTGCTTCAGTATCCACAGAGCTGGGATTATAAGTGTGTATCACCATCCCTGGCTTTAAAATATATGCTCTTAAAATGTATTTAATAGATAAGTTCTTCACTGTGAAGAAACTCTTATAGTCCTCGGTATGTCCTCTCCTTGACTTTCAATCTTGTATAGCTGCAAGAAGCTGGAGCAGAGACAAATTTAACATTCTTTTACACCATTGTAATGGGAAATGATTCTAGGTCAGCTAAACTAAATTATTACAAAAATAGTTTAATTTGGTTAATTGGTTGCTTTCGGCAAGTTGATTAAGAAAGGACCCTCTCTATTCAGAGATGGGGTACTTTAGGGTCAAAAGGCATGATATCTCCACTTTGGATGCTGCCCTCTAAGACAGATTCTTAAGCTTCCAATGAGAACACAAGCCATCCTAAAAATAAGCAATGATGCCAACTTTTACATACAGAAGAATATATGAAATATCCAGTAAAGGTAACTATACAGATTACTAAAGGGACTCAATTATGATAATTTAATGCTTACTCTCATTTACTCCCTAGACCACAGCAAATCCTACATGGAAGTACATTGTGCACTGCTTCATAAGTCAAGTGCCATTATTAAAACAAATTTTAAAAAGAGTTGAGAAAAGAATGGTAAGAAAGTATGGGAGGAATTGTCCAACATACAATATATACATATGCCAAGGCCTGAAAGGAACGTTTAAAAGTATGTGAGCTGGGTGTGGTAGCACATACTCAGAATCTCAACTCTGGATGCTGAGGAAAGAAGTATTGCTGAGTTTGCAGTCTGTATACACAATATAGTTGAGACTAGCCTAAGCTACATGACAAGACTACTGACAAGACTGTCTCAGAGAAACAGTAGGTGAGCTGATAGGGGGTTGGAGACTTTAGTTAAAGACCAATTAAATGGGTACTCAAATAAGCAGAACTAATTTTCATTCACTCAACATTGAGCCATAAACATATGTACAATTAAGTCTGTGCAGCCATAGTGGGCGATACCAAACTATTTCAGTAAGCAATTTATAATCCACTTAGAAAAATATGCCTCCGTTTAAAATGTAAATAATACACTATTTCCAAATGGCGATGAAAATTGCTATGATTTAAGTGCCATTCTGAGTCAAATATGTGCTAAATGTGCTTGACCTCGTTATATTACAAGGTATGAGACCCAACAGATAAAACAACTGAAACAGAAACACAAATGTCTATATAAAGCAGAAATGGGATAAAGTGCAGTTTGAACTGACTCGTTGTCCCATCTTTACTGAAGAGATTGCTATAGGAATTCAGAAAATGGGAAAAGCTAATAAGAGAGTGGGCTGAACTAGTCTTTAAGGCAAAGGTCGGTTTCAGACAATGAAATGGGTCAAAATGGGGAATAACAAAGTGCTTGTGGAAACAATTACATTAAAACAGCTGCCCAGTCAAACTTATATTTGGGCCAGATTTTGGTGGACAATGAAGACTAGATCAAAGAATGCGGCCTGTAGTCAGCAACCTTGACAACTAATGGAAGCCAATTTTCAAAATATACTACTATAAATGAACTAACTGCACAACTCTTCCAGGGGCTAAGGCCAGGAGACACGGGTGCCAGGAGTGTGCGTAGAGGCCAGTATTCAGGCCTCTTTTTCTTGCTTTCAGTGCTGAGCTCCACTTTGGGGATTGGTCCTCAGGTGAGGCCCGGGACAGGGCGGGGCTATGACAGCAGGTCATCCGAAGGATGCCCAGGCGGTCCAGCCTCTCTCTCTCTCTCTCTCTCTCAGGTGGGTTTGGCGGCCCCGCTCAGGAGACCTTGTCACTGCCAACCCAGACTTGTTCTCTGAAAGCAGACTTGTTCTCTGCTGAGATCCAACTTCTGCAAGTCTCTCTCGGGCTGCCCCATTTTCCTTCCCAGTCAGGCCGCGAGGAGGAGGACTCCAACCCGTGGCGGAGGCGGACCAGGGGCGGAGCTGCGAGCAGATCGGTACCGCCCCCCAACGCCGGGCCGGGACTGCACCGGTTCCGTTTCGTGGTGCGAGCCGGCCTGAGGGGTGGCCTCTGCACCCAGGTGACCGCGACCGAAGGACTCTGCTCCTTTAGCCTCAGCTGCGGTTAGAGGCAGGTTGAGGTAGGAGCAAACTCAATGAAAGAACTGGATTTCCATTCGGAGCCCAGCTCCCCGCTGCTGCCACGGGCCTTCCTCTTTAGACCCTCTCCCCTTTAGGCGGAGACTTGGAGAGTTCCGCTCCACGCGGGGGGCGGGGCCTAGTAGAGCTCGGGTGAGCTCCCAGGCAACCTGGAGCCACCTCCAAAAACAAAGGGGTATGGCAAAGGCCTTTCTCTGGCCGAGGGCTCATTCCTGGGTCTGTCGTGCGTGGCGGTGGGACTAGAAACCGTTGGGACAGCTGCTGCGGTGGAAGAGGCAGGGCCACGATAGCGCCACCCCCGTCTCCTCCCCCGCACCGCCCAGCAGTGCGAAACTCTGGTTGGCTCGCCTTACAAGTCATACTTTGGTTCTCTCATTTTGAAAACTGACCTCCTCCCGCTCGGCCCCATTTAGAGAACTCATTGAAGCTGAGTGTTTTAAGGACCAGGCCATCTTGGAGGCGGCAACTTTGGAGTTCACCACCGGACAGGTCCGACTCCGTGGCCTGTGAGCGTGGGCGAGATGCGGAGCAGGAGCAACTCTGGGGTCCGTCTGGACGGGTACGCGAGGCTGGTGCAGCAAACCATCCTGTGTTACCAGGTAAACAGAGACTAGCCCAGAGAACGTTCTACACTGCCCACTGATATAACTCATTCTTCCCAAGACCTCTGTCACTCATGAGAGTGAGACCTGAGAGCTTGCATTTAGCTAAGAGGTTCCCGACTTTAATCCAGTGCTTGCTAGCCAGTTATCACCCTCGTCCCTTATTGATATCCTGTTCACTTTACTCACAAGTCACACATCAGGCTTTCTGGTTTTTGAACAGCTGACGAGGCTGCTTTGCAGAATTCTTGGACAGTTTTTCCTCCTCCCTCTTCCTCCTTCCCCCCCCCCCCATCAGAACGTGCCCCTCGATGTCCTTCCTCACTGTCTCTTTTGGGTGAAAGAAGTATGTTAGGTTGAACAGAGCACACTAAATGAGAACAGTGAACTCTACTCTGGGAACAGTAGACAGGAGTGAAAAACTCACAAGGCTTGCATCTGACTAGAGTGTTACTGCCCTACCCTTGTTAGAAACCCACCTGAGAGGACCCTATGACCCTGCTCTGGTTGCTACTTTACAGTCTTCTGGGCACATACCAGCAGCATCAAGGGCTCCTGTGAAACTGTGCCTATAATCTCAGATATGAATATGCCTGCTTTGCTTTGTGCTTGGCAAAAGTTTTGTGTGAGTCCCAGTGTAAGACCACTGAGCTATTTTTGTTCAGAGCAAAGACAGCAGCTATATTGCTTGCCTTCGATGAACAGCAGCTATTTTTAGGGCTTTCAGAGTCAGAGAAGGAAGTAGCAGTTGGTGGTTTGAAGCTTGACTGACCCATGGTCATTTCCAAACCATTAACCATTTTTTTCTTCTTAGCTAATTTTCCAACCTTGGCCCCTCACTCAGGAAGAATTTATTATGTATATTTTATATGCAAGATGTTGTACAAACTGCTTTGCCTACATAAAAAAATAAATAAATGGTGTTGCTGGTAGTGGGGCTTAGTGGTAGTTTACCTGGTATTCTCAACGCCCTGGAGTGGATTGCCTACCCTGTAAAAGAAAAAAAAATGGTCATAGCACAGTGAATTTTATGAATAAAGTATAATAAGTTCAGTGTTTCTTGTTTTGAAACACTTTGGGGCCAAATGTGGCTTTTGAGCCAGAAATGTCTGGATTTTTAAAATCATATGCATACTATAATAGCCGTAGTAGTCCAGGCAGTATCCCTTGGTTGCATCCAGTATTAGTTCTGCATTGGAATATGAATATTCACACTAAGCAGTAAGTAAAGACTACAGAAAGAGTTTCATATTAGACCAGCTTATCTTTGCCACCAAAAGAAATTTCTGCAAATGTAAGAAAAAACATTTCCATATCTTAGCGGCTTTGAGGATTGCTCATAAAGGACTGTAGTGTTTGAGGAAGATACCCCTTCCCCCACCCTCCACTCTCACTGCCAAGCCATATATGGCAAGGAAGGAGTTCTGCAAGAAACAGCATTCCAGTTGAGAGTTGAAGAGGGACTAAGTTGATAGGTAGGTTCCTCTTTGCTTTTATTCTTAGAATGTAATTACAACTATAAAACGTTTTAAAAATCCCAGTAGTTTCTATCTATTACTGTTATAGAAAGAACTGTAAAAAGAACTGTAAGGAGTCCCAGCTGGCCTCAAAGTGACAGATACCTACCTGCTTTAACCGCATGAGTGTTGGGATTAGAAGTGTACACCATCAGACCCAGAGCTTTCTGTTTATCCTTTCTGAGTTAACACCTTCATTTGTAGAATGGAAATTGAGTTATTTTTTTTAAAATGAATGTCTAATGTACTCCTTGGGCACATTGTGTGCAATCTGTATGCAGTGGGTGCTTTTGATATAGACCACATGTTGTTACTTCATGCCCATTCTGGTCTAGGATGCCCCCAATCCTGGAAGACTTGATACTGCTACTAATTGTTTTCTGGTCTTTGGACATAATTACGTGTTCTACTGATGTAGTCACATCCTAAGTACAGAGACTTTGGTGCTTCTTTCCTATTCATTATGCAATGTCTCAGGCTCTTTATAGGATTATCCTTCCATCCTTGTTGAAAAATACTTCCTGTGGGTTCTGTGCCACCTTAAGGACATAGCTATTGGTCCAGGGTTGCCGTTGCTCAGGAGCAAAACAGCCACCAAAGCTGTAGGGTTGGACTTTCCTCCCCAACATTTTAATGATTAAAGAGCAGCTGTCTAACCTTTTAGTTGTATTTATTTTGGGGGTAGTCAGTGAAAAGGCCCTCATATTTTCTGTCTTTTCCTCTGGATAACCAGAATACTCCAGATAATTCTACTGGGAGAGTCTGTGAACCTGCAGGTAGAGAATTGCATGCCTCCTCACCCAGTGCTCCCCTGCACCTATCTTGCTGCAACTACTATTCAGTTGTAGAGGCCTAACTTGCCTGTAACTGCTTAGGGCCTTGTCATCTTTTCTGACTGATATTAGGTAGGTCACCTGTGTTCTGTGGTGTTTTTTTTTTAATCATAGTAAAAAATGGATGAGCTAGGTTTCTGTAGTTTCTGCTATATTGTGCCATCTTCTGTAGGTATATGCATGTTCCTGACGCATTTTTCAAGTCAGTTCTTATAAGCTGTGAACTCTATTTTTATTTGATTTTTAAATTGAGATCTGTTTATATTGGTTTCAGAGGTTAGACATCATTTCATAAGAATGTCAGCTGATCCTTATTCTTCCTTTTAAATCAGTAGTTTATCCACATCATCTAGCATGTCCACTAATCTGTCCCTGTATCTGTAAAAGAGAAGAACTTTTTCTCTATGTTATTTGCCAAATATAGAATACTTGGCTACTATACATTATTTGAATTTTTAAGGCAAAAAAGGAAAGACCTATGCCTATAAAATAGTCATTTAGCAAGTTTCAGTATATGAATGTACATTCTGAGGAGTCTCTTCAGAAATGTATTGACGTTTAAAATTTCTAGATTTTTTTAGCCTAGATTTAAAAATGTTGATTGTTAATATTTCTTCAGTAATGGGTCTGTTTGAAGACTTATTAATATGTGTGAAGTATGATATAGTGGTAAGAGAATATGAACCAGAAAATAATAACCAACTTTGTGTTCACTATAGTTAGAAATTATTGAGTATTCAGAAAAAGAGACTAGGGCAAGAACTACATTGTGATTAGTAACAGTGGAATTTAAACTGAAAACAATAACATAAATAGAACATGGTTTATGGAATAAATAGCAGTAGTAAAGACTAATTGTAGAAGAGTTAAAAATAATAGAATGAAGTCTAGGAAGTAGCATGACAGGAGACTGAGAAAAGACTGGTGTTAAAGTGTTCTGAGCCCTTTATTGCCTTAGAAGAGAGGGTGAAGGAATTGTCATGTCTTTCAAGTCAAAAACTTTATTACCATTAGAATAATATAAACAAAGAGATGATAACATAGTACAATTGATAAGGTCCTTGCTGTGCAATCGTGAGGGCCCCAGTTCAGTTGTTAGCACTCATGTAAAAGCCAGATGTGGTGATACATACTTACAACCCCAATACTGAGAAGGTGGAAATAGGAAGATCATGGGGGCTTGCTAGCCAAGTTAGCGTAGCCTAATCAGTGAGCTTCAGGTCCCAGTGAAAGATTTTGTGTCAGAAGTCAAGGTGAGCACTGGAAAGATGCCCAGAGTTGACCCCTGTCCTCCACTTGCACCAGCACATGTGTAAATGCACTCACACAAATATGCTCATTCACCTACATGCAAATAATAATATGAATGGAATACAAACCTGTGTGTCTGTTTGCCCACCCTATATCTTTTTTCTTTTAGTTTTTGTGATTATAATTTTTCTTCCAGTCCCTCTCATATACCCCTCCCAAATAATAGAGGAATAACGAAAATCTAGTCACTAAAAGAGAAAAATGGAAGAGTGCTTGGGCAACCCGGAAATAAGACAGAAGCGTTATAAATATTATAAAGGATGATAGAAGCAACAAGGAGGTCTAAATGTTAATCAGTACAATAAGTGTAAATGTAGGGATAATTTCTTGTGTACTGTGTGGAAACATCACCTGTCAATAAAATGGCCAATAAGCTGAGACAGAATGAGATCCAGCAGAGAAGTAGTCAGAGTTGGAGGATTCTGCCCTGGACTTGGAGATGGCCAAATGAAATTGAGGAGAGGTAACTAGCCAAGTGGCAGCCATAGACTAGAATTAATGGATTATGTAAGTTCCAAGCCCGTTAGGGAATGAGCCAAAGCTTATGGTCTAGGCATTTATTCATAAGTATCAGAGAGGCCAGGTTGAAAAGCTCACATCTCTGTATAAATTTTTAAAGCCGTCAGAGGCAATTGTTTAAAATTTTTTCAAAGTTACATGTAGTTTATAAACAAAATCTGAAACAATATTGAAAGGTGGAAGTTAATGTAGTGGGCCAGCTAAAAACAAATGTAAAAAAAATGATGTCATTAAGCTAATATCAGAGCAGACTTTTTTTGTTTTGTTTTGTTTTTTTGTTTTTCGAGACAGGGTTTCTCTGTGTTTTCACAGGGTTCTCAGGGTTTTCGAGACAGGGTTTCTTGAGACAGGGTTTCAGAGTGTGTTCCAGGCTGTCCTGGAACTCACTCTGTAGACCAGGCTGGCCTCGAACTCAGAAATCCGACTGGCTCTGCCTCCCATGTCCTAGGATTAAAGGTGTGCACCACCACTGCCCAGCCAGAGCAGACTTAACAATTATTTCAAAGATATGTTATTAAGGATTAAGAATAAAATTACTAGATGACAAAAGAAAATTCACAGAAGAGTATAGTAAGTTTAAGACCACAGGATACTAACAACAAAGCTTTAAACTATATAAGGCAGAGTTTAGTCCAGTTGTAGGAGCAGTTCACAGATCCTCAATACTAATGGGAACTTTTAAATAGATGGTAATAAATCAGTCAGGGACATAGATAACAGAAAATTTGAACCGGATAAAATATAAACTCAATAACTAGAACTCCATTTCCAACCTATAGAAAAGTACGTTTTTCAGCTTTACAAGGTGTATTTTTCA